TCGCCTTGTGTTTTTAAAATAGGTAATTTTAATTCCAAAAAAATATGTGTAGTTAGCAGCAGTATAATTTAATTAGAAATACTAGCATATTACTAATAACCAAAAAAAACTGTTTGGCTTAAAAATTAGTAACATTAATAATAGTCTATACATATAATAATCGAGCTAACTCTTTATTACATAAAATATTTTTTGGAAATTATTATTTATAATGAAATAGCCAGATATTATCGATTCAGAAGCCAAATCTACAGTTTATCAAAATTCTTGACTATCTGTCTGTGATCGCATCAGATATGACCTTTCTGTGATTTTATTAGAATTATTAGTATTATTAGCGGCTCCGCCCGTTTTTTTTGAAATGAAAATATTTGTAAATTACGTATTGTTTAATAAAATACGAATATTTACGTCTTCACAACATCGACATTTTATCGATCAAAAAAATAAGATTGTGTTCCATAATATATTCTAATTTTTTACTTATAGAAAACAAAGTTTGCGGTTTCTAAACAGACAAAGCGGGTAACTGAAAATATCCATATCTCTAAAATTGCGCAATATATTTGTATTCTGAAAAGTAGTTTCGTTTCCGTTAAAAGTATTTTGGAAGCTCTTTTAGCTCAAATATTTAGATTTTTTGACACCATTTCATGAAAGGTAAAGAAAGAACGTTTATTTTTTAAACACTACAATGTTTATGATTTTAGAGTTATATAGCTCAACTAATATAGCCTATATTAGCAGAGCTATATGAAATGATAAAAAAATAGCTTAGAAAGATTTCCGTATGTACTCCTGAGACTAACACTTGCCCGATTTTTATATTTCAAGATGAGAACACAAATTTACAACACATTTTTAAATTGAAAACCGTTTCGGGTAGTAATAAAACAAATATAAATATTTCCTCTATATAATATTACTAGCATTGCCCGCGGCTCTGCCCGCGTTCAGATGACCAAAAGCCAAATTCTTAGGTTTTATATAAATATATTAATATATAAATAATTAAAATAAGTAAAATCTAAGAGTTTGGTTTTTGATATTACTAGCTATCAATTAGTAGAATTATTAAAATTTATTCAGTAGTTTGAGAATTTATCGCCTACAAATGTATAAAAATCTTTCCTCTTTATAGTATATAGTATATAGAGTAGTATAGAGTAGATGTATAGACATACTATAAAATATGTTGTTGTTAAAACGGAAAATGCAGTAGGTATTACGTAATTAATAATATTAATGATATTAAGAGTTCTGCAATTGTAATTACTTCTATGTAAAGTTTTTATAATTAATTATTTAAAAAAAAGTATATAATTACGTTTCTTTTGAACTGACGTATATTCTAGTATAAATTTTTCTTAATAATATTAATGTTGTAATGATATATTTACAGCTGATTCTGAACGTTTTTAATAATTTTTTATATTTTGAAAGGGATTTTCTTGTAGAATTCCAATATGTATTTTTAAATTTCGAGGCCGCTATAAATTTAACCACTATATACAAGATATTATTATATACTTTTCATTTCGTTTGCTTAGTAGGTAGGTATAGTATTTCAATCCATGGACTTGCAAAAGTGCCGGCGCACATTTAATTAAAAACTTGCTTCTGAATTTTGGCTTTATTTTAATTAATAATGAAAATTTGTGAAAAGCGAAGCCGCTATGAACTACAGTCAAAATCTGTTATAACGACATCGAAGGGACCACTCATATTTGGTCGTAAAAACCGATAGTCGTTGCAGCCGGTAATGGTTTTTAGGTACAAAGTATTTTTTATGAAGTGGTATTATTGAATGTGAACATATATATATAGAGAGAGCGAGATCAAACGAAATCTTCACCAAAACGCTTAGCAAAATCGTTTGCTTTTTGTTTAAGAATGGGTCCGTTTATTGGCACATTATTTGTCCTTCGATATTTAAACCACTTTAACAAAGCTTCCTCAATCTTAGTATTCTTCGTTGTTCTGGCTCGTTTCATTTTCCAAAAAATTGCTGTCATAAAGGGTTTGAATTTTTTCCCTCTCTTTCCAAATGGTTGACATTTTCGAGTGTGATATACCATATTCTTTTGCCAAGTCTTTGTTTGGAATTCCGATCTCTAGCTTTGATATAATATGCGATTTTTCCTTGATATTAATTTGTTTTCTTTTTCCAAACGACATGTTAAAAGTTTCACAAATAACTTGACTATATGATTTGGTGCGTCTTGTGTACAGATAAGTAAGAAACTGACTGAAGAGATATGAAGAAGCGGGGTTTGATTATACTGCATGCACGTGTATTTTGTTTCTAAGAATTACAAAAGACCCTAAACTCGACAAGTCTTTGTTTACTTTAACGATCTTAATAGCCATTGACGATTATGCTGAGCCCCCGAGGGCCAGATGTGGATACTGTTACCTATTCAAATTGCTTACAATACAGCTGGTCGTTCTAACAGATATAAATCGCCGAAGATATTAGTAAAATGTGGTCGCTTAAAGAGGTATATCATAATAAGCAATGTCGTAAAAAGCAATATTTTTAATAAGGCGGTCATATAGCATACAGCCGGGACCTTTGATTTTGGTCAATATAACCGATATGTTGTTCTAAACGATGTCGTCATAAACGGTTTTAACTATTGATAACTGTTCTCCACAATACAATAAGTCAAAATTGTCGAAGAGTTTCAGTTTCTCTGAATAAGAACGTTAAATATAGGCATTAAATTGAAAAATCACGGTCATATGTAATAGGCTTCTTAATGGAAGAAACATTTGTGGCATGCATTGGCAATGCAAAATGGAGGTGATTGCACCTCCTTTTTTTCTCAATCTTGCGGTGCGCAATAAAACTCGTATATTTTAATTTTATTAATACGTAAAACTTAAGAATTTGGTTGTCGGTCATCTGAACGCGGGCAGAGCCGCGGGCAATGATAATATGTATATAAGAAATAAATAATAAGTTTATGGGTTAACTAATATGAACAAAAGATACTTTGAATAAAACTGTGTAGCTACATACCTATATGCTTTTCTGTTTATTTTTGTTTTTCTTTTATTCCAACGACAATTAATCCCTATGAGATTTTTTTTAACAATTCCTAACTTCATTCTGTACCTAACTATGTTACAACACAAGTCCTATAAATATCTGTATAGATGATTAAATTCAGATTCCTTTTGTACGGCAATGCGTATAGATTACTGCATGAAATTCATTAGTATGATCTCCTTTCTTTTTATTATACCTGCACGAAACCAAAGTCGCAGTAGAACGAGAACGTAATTGTTAATGTTAATGCATATGCGTGTCAAGATCGTAATCATTTGACTTCACCACAATAGTATAAAAACTGGTCTAATCATATGTTTTAACACTGGTTAGCCTCTAGTTTCAACCTGATATTTAACACGTTATGATTATTACGAGAATTTATATAAATAACAGTAAGTTAACATATATTAAAACGATTTGTAAGGTTTCATACCCAAAGAATACCAACTGAACCCTATTATTAAGCTTTTGCTATCTAGGCTAAAACTTTTAAGCCTTCACAAATTTTATAGAATATGCGGTTATAGCAGATTTGCTAACAAATAATAAAAAATTGTAGAAAACTGGGTAGTCCCAATACAAAAAACGTGTTCTTGCAGTTGCTTTTGTTTTTACGCTATTGTAATACCGACGTATTTATGTAGAACAAGTGTCAAAATTGGTGTGATTGTAGTTGGTACAAGTCCACTGTAAAATAGCAAACAATAGAAACTGGGCAAGAATGAATCGGAATCACGTTAGAAGTTTCAACTACTATTCAGGTTGAAGTTTTATATTTTTGGTGTAAACGTAGGAAAAACATAATGTGTAAGCAACTATCAGTGCGTAGGTCCGACTAGCTCTTGTTCTACCGAATATTGCGAAATCTTATCTGTAGGTATATCTATACATATATACAAAAGGCTTTGTCCTGACTGACTGATGGATCAACGCACAGCCTAAACCGCTGGTTGTAGAAGCGTAAAATTTTGGGAACGTATTCCTTATATGATGTAGGCATCAGATAAGAAAGAATTTTTTGGAAATTCCCTAAGGGTGTAAAATGGGGGATTAAAGATTGTTTGAAACTCTGTCGTTATTAATGTAAAATACATGAAAAGTTGTATTTAGCTTTAAAATAAGAAAAATAACAAAACATGTATCAGACTTATTCGAAATTCATCCATTAAAGGGATAAAAAGGAGTGCTAAAGTTTATATGAAAAAAAATATTATCAGAATTACTTCAAACTTTGTATTAATGCTCTTTATACAATTAAATAAGTACGTGGCATTTTTCGAAATTCACCCCATAAGGGGGTAAAATAGGGGATGAAACTGTAATTTTTTTCAAGTGAAATGCACGAAAAGTAGTATTTATTGACCTTTAAAATTAAAAAATTAAACAATTATTTGTTTTTTTTTAAATTCGACTGTTAAAGGAGTAAAAGGGAAAGGGTTTTACGTGGTTTTTTTATTATCAAATTCAATTAAATAAATTAAATTAAGTATTAACCCTAGATCATCTTTAATAAAAAAATGACCTACAATTTTACAAATCAAACTCTAATAGATAATTGTTAATTTAGACATAATGGCCGCTCAGATTGTGTTCATTTAAAATTATAATCTAGAACCGAATAAAAAATTAGGATTTTTCGCGGAAATTACAAATTAAAAAAAAAGTTATTAAATTGTACATCTCCTACTTTTTTTCAAGCTTTGTGCTTCAAGCATAAATATGCACTTCCCTTAATTTATAAATCATTTGAAAATTAAACATTTAAAAATCATTTAAAATTTCCATGTTAAAAATCTGCGAAAGATATTGAAAATACATAATATCTAATATATTTTTTTATTATTAATTAATTTTATTGACGTTTAATCATAGGTACATTTTTTATTATACTTATGTTTCACAAAAGATTTATTAAAAGTTTCATTATTTTGCTTTGCCGCAGGTGGTCACAGTACTTTCTTTGCGCTCCTGAACACATTCGTCCACATCGTTATGTATTTCTATTACATGATATCTGCTATGGGACCCAAATACCAAAAATATATTTGGTGGAAGAAGTATCTAACAGCATTCCAGATGGTAAGTTGGATTTTGTGTATCTTTATTTATTTAAAAGTTGTTTTTTGTCGAATATAATAGTATTAAAATGTACTTATTGCATTTGGAAAAAATATTTAATGGTCATTTAAATTATAATTCGAAACTAAAACGTTAAACACAATTCAATTACATAGACTGGCAATAATGAAAATTTGTAAATGTAAAATCCACAAGTTTGAATAAGACATGTGAAACACCTTAAATATTTTACAACATATAACACCTAGTTAATATGTAAAGAGACTTCACCTACTTACTACAAACATAAATCATATATTATTAAACAAAGTTTAAGATTATAAAATGTAACTACTATAATGATATTTTATTAAATTTTGTTCGTCGTATGTCTCACATTTAAATATAAATGTCACTTACGACGATACGTCGTCCATATGACTGTAGAGGATGTTTGTTAAATGAACATTTACAGTGACAATAGCAAATAAAATATACTTACGTAGAAAAAGTGTTTTTAAAAATAACTAGGAAATCATTGTTGATAGAAAACTTAGCACTACTTCAGGAAGAAAATGGCTTATAACATTTACGAGGAAAACAATAAATTTAATTAAACAAAGCCAACGTTTAAAGCGTAGGTAGTAGGTATTAAATATTTGTAGTTGTTTTTTTATACTTTTTGCACGTTAAGCAAAACAAGACGGAAGGGGAAAAGGTCTTTATAACTTTAAAACCATACATTGTTAAAAAGCATTTTATTCAATTCATTTTAAAATTTTCGATGCTCACAATACGTATGATTAAATTGCCAAAATTACAATACATATAATATAAAATTATTAATTTTTTTATAAAATACAATCGGAAATCTAAACCTTTATTTCATATATAAAGCTGCAACCAGGTCTTTTCTAAATTAAACTTTACAATATTTATTATATATATATATATATATATATATATATATATATATATATATATATATATATATATATATATAATATTTAAGTCGAAAAATATGGGTTACGCTGTTCTTGCACTGACATGACGGCCTGAATTGTAGTTTTTAACCGACTTCCAAAAAGGAGGAGGTTTCGTCGGAATCTTTTTTTTTATGTATGTTCACCGATTACTCGAAGGCGCCTGAACTGATTTGGAATTTTTTTTCAAAGGGAAGACTTCGAAAATAGCTGATTAGGTATCTATTCTAAAAGGAAACCTCCGTTTAGTAATTTTTTACATGTTAGTGCCTGAAAGTCGGTTTTTATTTTTTGTTAAAAAGTTTTTATAAATTATGCATATGAAAAACAAAAATGTATGTATAGGTCCTTAATACTATTTCATTAATACGATTTTAGTTTTTTTATTTGAATATAAAATTGTTTCAAAAATATCCTTGAAAGATTTATTTATGAATAGCACTTTTAAAGACGATTATTATTTATTTTTTCTTGAGTAGATTACATTTTATAACACCCAGAACATTCTCGATAATATACGATAGAAACTCTTAATAGTATAAAAATGATTAACTACCTGCCTGTCAGTTTTTATATAGCGCGATTATTTTTTAACCTCTGGTACATACATACATTCTACCATCAAAGGTAACCAATAATATAGTTAAAATAACCTTGTAGACACTAATTAATATAACTGTTATACATATATCTTATATAATGTAATCACTTTAACTGTTTTGAAAAAAAAAACAATGCATACACTATTATATGTAGGTACTTGATTATTAATATCTTAATTTAACAACACAGACATAATGAATATGCAATTTAAGTAAATATTATGCATTTAGTACATAAATATGATCAAAAACTAAGTTTAAATTTAATATTTTTTGAAATATATTAATAATACATTACAAAATACATATATACTAATTAATTAAACAGTTTTCATATATGTTTCATAAGAATTGTAATAGTTGTGAAAACGATTTTATTTAGTCAACATTACATGTCGAATTTCGGAAGCGTAAACCAACGTTAACATCGTAAATATTTCAATGAAGTAATTTCAGTGTTTAACCTCGTGTAACGGTCAAGTATATTTGCCAATTACGTCGGAGGTTGTATATTCGATTCCTTTCAGGGTCATTCTTACGTGAATGTCATGGAGCTTGTGTATCTACTAGCTGTACTGCTGTTCCGTAAGAACTTACGCATCTCGACAGGGCAAACCGCGAACATACTTCATGGTATATGAAATATAATCGCGGATTCAGCTCTCGTATTACATTAAAGCTCTTACAGTATAGCATTACTGGTCTCGGAGTGGGATAAAAAATGATTGTTGATTACGTATATTTCTTAAATTTACGCGAATATTTGCCATTTTAAATATTAGTTTTATTTATCTTGTCGAATTTTAGATTTTGAGTTTTGCTTCCCGACGTTTCGTATGCTTTACAACAAACGAGAGTCTCCCTTGACCATGAATATAAATCCGCGAAAAAGTCCGAAAAGATTTTTATTTAATTACATATCGTTCCACAGGTTCAATTCGTGCTAATATTCAGTCACCAACTGCAAGTACTGTTCCGGCCGTCCTGCCAATATCCCCGTGTGTTCGTGTACTGGATCGCAATGCACGGCTTCTTGTTCTTATTCCTCTTCAGCGATTTCTACAAAGCAAGATATAATAAGGCCGAAAGGAAGTCTAAAACTAACGGCCTCTGCATGGTAAGTAACACTCCAAATATTTACTTTCATTTATACACGCTTATAAGCGTATACAATTTTAACCTTCCAGATATATGTGAATAGCTTTTTATGTTAACTGATTTGATGTGTAACTGTTATATAAACCTACTAATCTAGCTCAACTTGCAATAGAGTCCGAGGTCGACTGCGACAGACTATGTGAAATAATATCTAGGAATAATACTAGACTGCATGATAATTAACATATAATTTAAATATTTTTAAATACTATATTATTTTTATAATAACATAAATGTCATATTACCTTTTACTATTATTTAATATTAACTATTAACTAATACGTCAGAAAGTTTTGCAAATTTTAAGTTTTATTTTAAATTACAAATGCAACACATAAATTATGATGTTTGTGAATAAATGTTTAGTTAAATAAAATAATCTAAACAGGAAGATAAATATTCAGTAGTACATTAAATATCGACCGACAAACCGGCATTTAGTGATGCTTTATAAAACATTGGCCGAATTTATTTATGACTAGCGACTCACCCTCGCTTCGCTCGGGTTCGTCCCTAGGTACACTTTAATTTTTTTGACTGGAATCCTAATTCTTTTACTGAAATAAAAGTAACCTAAGTTACTCCTTATAACATCAACTACCTGCCAGTGAAAGTCGCGTCAAAATCGGCCCAGCCGTTTCGGAGATTAGTCGGAACAAACACACAGACAGACAGATAAAAATTTAAAAAATTGTGACACTTCTATTTGTTAAACATTGATTCGGGAATATAAGAAATAACAATAACTTTGCAGATCTAACATATTACATATACATACATACATCTGGAATATTCCAATAAATATTTATTGGTTTCTATGTGGCCTTTGTTGCTTTTGGTAAGATCCTATATTGGAGTTTTTCAATAGGGATATTAAAACAGCTAGTTACAGACTACAGTCACGAAGTCAAAAATGATTTTTTACAGCTTGGAAATGACTTAGCTATAAAATAAACTGAATTCCTGTTCGTTAGTAAGCGCATCACTTGAGAACGTTTATATTAGTTCGAATATAGTTTTGCAATTGGAAAAGTTATCAGGGAAATTGAAATTCAAGTGAAACTAATTTTTTTTCTACATAATACTTGTATGGCCTCAAATATCATAAAAAAATATATTGAAATTAAGTCAAGACAACGTCTGTCGAGTCACCTATTAATAATAATTTAATATTTATCTTTTTATACTTACATATAGAATGATTGACATAAATATTGTAAAATATGTATATCACTTTGTGAGTTTATTGTTGAAGTATTTAATTTAAAAAAAAATAAAGCCTCCATAACATGGTAATCGAATAAAAATAGCAGTAAACAAATTAATTGGCCTTTAATAAGTTTTTAATTATAAACATTATAAATAAAATTTATTCAAAAATAAAACGATACTTCTCAAGACAAATATGCACGTCGATAAATAATGAAATTGATTTTTAATTATTTTTTTACTATTTTAACAATCGTCTATAAAATTTATTTATGAATACGACGTCAACCTTTGGTTATTTAAATTAAATTCTTTTATTTCAATAAAGATTATTTATTGCGTATTGATTATTACAATATTATTGACTCACGTTGCAAAAGTCCCATTAAAATTCATCCACATGCTCAGGACTGGGCTGCGTGTATTTAGTCACATGTTATCAAAAACTTGTTTCTGTTCTATTACATCCTGAAACCCCTAAATACACAAATTTTGACCAACGTCTAAAAAGGAGGAGGGTCTTCATTTGTGTGTATATTTTTTCTATGTAGGTTAATTGATATCTTCGATAATAATTGTAAACAAATTTTCATGATTACTTTTATACCTTAAAATCGGTCAAGGTCCAATACTTCAAGAGAAAAATCCACCCTTATGATAAATATACAATAATTAAAACTTATAAAGTGACTTTGGCATCCATGTACAATTTTAAACATACTATTATTTACTATACATCTTTCTATTCCAGACTGTAATGGACGATAGCAGTCCGTTAAACGGCAAGAACGGCTACAAACACGAAGAAGGCTCCGTCCCTAACTCGTACGCGTCGTCCTCGGCGGACGCCTTTGTACGCAGACGGCCGCTCTCATAGTCCTATTGCTATAGTACGGTGTAAATCAGGGTCCCCTTTATACCTAAATAGGGTACATGATGTATGACGTCATCACCACCTTCGTAGCACGCTCACACAAGAGCGTGCTTATTTATTTTTCGACAACTTTAATGGTCATGTACCCTATTACTGTGACAACACCGGGCGTCGCTATTTGTATTAGCGAAATCCTTATTGAACCAAATATTACACGTTGATTTCATTTCAACAGTATCGATTTTGATAAGCACTCTTTCTTATTTTATAATGTGCATTATACTTGTTACATTATTACATATATGTATATATTTTTTCTAAGTCGTATTATAATTTGAAATTACATTTTCACACAAAGGAATTGTTAAGAAAAGTAGCATCTTCTAATTGATATATTTTTTCAATTGGCACACCATTGTTTTTCAATTTGTACACAAATTGTAAACAAAAGTGAAATCTCGATGGGGCATGTAAAAGTCAAAATCATAAACAAAAGCTTTCTACGCCATAAAAAGAATATTAAAATTAAATTGCATATAAATTTTAAGTAACCATTTATTTATATGTTCATATTTCACTAAACTCTCCCATTTGTGGCTGATATAATTAAACTAGATTCTAGTGTATATTGATGAGGTTTTAATTGATTCCGAATTGTCCGCATTTAATCCGTATTATACATATTTGTTCTTCTTCGAATTACCTCTACACGAAAATAAGTATGTAATTTGTAATAGGGTACATGATTTGGAGGGAGATAGCAGTATATGTGACGTCATCTACTTAATTGATATCACACGATATTATATCGGAAAATTATTTGAAAATATTCATATTTTTTGTATTATTTAATCTTTGTCTACCAGTATATAATAATATTATATATATATATATATATATATATATATATATATATATATATATATTCATCGGTAGTCATGTACTCTGTTTTCTATCTGTAGTCGTATACATACATATACGTTACTGAAGTAGCACAACGTCCCTTCGACCTTGAGATATGTATCATCAATTGCCTTAAATTATTTTAAGTACAAAAACTATTTACTAGACTATGAAATGTTAAATGAATAGTTATTTTGTAATTGTTATCGGTTTCGGAGAATAGAGTAATTTTTCTTTAATGTATAAATTAGTGAAAGCAGAATGTCGTTAGTACGTTCTAATGTTAACTGTACATACTATGGATGAAATTAGTTACGCTCGTTATTTTATATGCCCTGTATAGAAATACCGGTAATTGTTTGTTCTGTAAATATTATTTGTGTAATATTATGTCTTAAATTGACAATGTTACCATATATTATGTTCTTCATATCCAGTGTCATTGATTACGAATTTTTCCACGCTAAAGCATTTATTATAAATTTGGTTTGTGTATATGTATTTTATAAGGATAATAAAATATTTTAACATGATATCGTCGAGTCACTCATATTTATATTTGTAATGTCTATTGTAAGAAATGCACACGATTATTAAGTACCGGTCGAGTTGCAACCATCGCTTACGAGAAACGTTTAAAAATATTGTAAGAATTGTAGGAATAAATGAAATAGATCAGTAGACGTAGTTGAAAGAAATACTAAATATTGAATTTACATTATACAAATACTTGAATTTATATTAGCAAATTAAATAGCCGACAACTCGACCGCAAAATAACCGATATGAAGGGTTAGGTACGTAAGATATTTTAATTGTTTTGTCACCGGGAATATTTTCTAATGTTTAATTTTATATTACCTTTTGTGTATTAATGCTTTATGTGTTGTGTGAACGGCAAAAGGTTGCTTTGGGCGAAATTCTGTGCTCAAATATTTGCTGCGATTTCACTGTTTTGCAACCTTTATTTATTATATTAATAAAGTATTTTACAGAATATAACATGGATTTTTATTGTTTTATTTATCCTCGTTCTAACGCATTTGAAGTTAACATCCCATCTTTAATAGTATCCATATTTTTGAAGTGAAAAGTTCTATAGGCAGGTTTGGATGGGAGTAAATTCACTTACGTCGTCATCGACATGGTCACGTGACGTGCTAACGCTAACACTCCGAGTGCCGATAGATGTCATAATCCGATAAATGTAAACAGTTTTATTTTCAAATTTTAATTTAAGATCAAACAATTTGAATATTCTAAAATAATAACTGTTTTTTACATTTTTTTATATATTTTTTTAACAAAACTGATTAAATTTTGTTTTTTTTTATTATATTTTTAACTAATGAATAAACAAGATTAGACTATGAATCAATTTCATTTCTTTCTATAATTACCTTAAAATCAAATTTTTCTGATAAAATCAATAAATTTGGCTCCAAAATCGATCAAAAACTAATAAAATATCCATAAATTTGAAAAAATAATGACAAATACGGCAAAAATATAAAAGCGTGAAAAAATGTGGTATGCTACGTGAACTCCAACTTTTATTTTAAACTAGCATTGCCCGCGACTCCGCCCGCGTTCAGATGACCAAAAACCAAATTCTTAGGCTTCAGAAATGATATATTTTCGCGCGGTAAAAAGTATCCTATATGTTGACCCGGATGACCAGCTATCATCATACCAAATTTCATCAAAATCTGTCCAGTGGTTTACTCGTGATGCGGTAACAGACAGACAGTTTTTTCACGTCTCGTCAAATTGCAAAGTTGGAATGTTTACGGCGGCATTGTATAAAAAATAAGCGTCAAATTAAAAACTTAGAGATATCATCTTTTCGTTTTTTCCCGAAAAATACATTGGTGTAATCAGTTTATAAAAATTTGGTCAATAAAGTACACTTCTTCAATGATAATTGAAAAAAATGTAGTTTACAAAGTGAAAATTATCGATTTCTCCAATTTCTTAAATTTAGAATGTAGAGTTAAAAACAATAAGAATGAGCCCTATTTAAAAATTGAACGATTTTTTTTTAAATGTAAACGCCCACTTGAAGTTGGGGGTGTTTTTCAGCCTCTCGGGACCATAAAACATACTTTTCTCGGAAATGGCTTAGCATTTCAATTTTTATTTATTACATGTATTTCGAAGATTACATTCCCTTATTTTCATGAAAATCAAAAGATTATTCTAGAAATTAAAAATAAAAAACCGAGTTTTCTACAAATATCTCGAAAACTTTGAGGTTATAGTAAAAAGTGTTATTTATTAAAGTTGTAGATTTTTACTAGACCTACACTCAATAGGGATACTACCTACCTTCAATAGGGTTAAATTAATTAATAAAATTTAAAAAGCTTATAATGAAAACTATTCCTTAAAAACGCTTCTATAAAAATGGTCTGATATAATTTTTGTGTAAAATGAACAGAAAAAAAAAGGTATAACGACAAATAGAAAAATTTTGCTTAAATTTTCACCGATTTTCGCTTATAACTTTGTTATTTTTGACTCTACCACTGAAAGTTACTTGACCAAAGTTGTAGAGAATTTTATTTGTAACCAAAAATGATTTAACCATTTTTTTTGTGAGACCTATAGTTTGTCAGATAAACCATAAAAACCGTTTGTACCCCTTTTTCCGAGATGGCGGCCGTGGGACAAGGGCTGCAACCCCACAAACTTGGATTTTACTTTACACTAACCCCTCCTTGATATCTAAAAAATAAAATTGCGTCCTCTGACAAATGCAACCCCAAATGTAACTTTTCAATGGACTACTAGTTTATTAGGTAGTTTGTCCATTTAATTCTTTTTTGACAGCTCACGCCCATGAAGTTTCGTATTGTTTAAATTAAAATTTCATACAAATAATATTGTACTTCATGGACGGCTACCGTCCCCTTAGTGATGTGCCACACATAACGATTACTACGATTGTGCCACAGATTACAAATAATCGGTAGTAATAAATGCTAATATGTAAATAAGGTGTAATAATATGTTATTTAATCAGGAAGACAACAAAATTTTAAAGTTGAATGGTTTCAATGTTTAATACATTTCAGGTTTTAATACATTAAAATATTAACATTATATAAAGTTTCAATTTCTTCTTAGTATAAGGCATACAAATAAAACAAATAAAGTAGTATAATTCCTTTTATTAACATGGGTCGTCAGAATTACCATTTATACTAGATTCATTCGATGAGGAGTCTTCAGTAATATTAATGTAATAGCTCTTGTGTGCATAAATTATCAAATCAATGTCACGGTCCCAATCAGACATTATGACTCTCTTAGTTCTCTCCACTTCACATACCCAGTTCTCGGCCGTCACGTGGGTGCAAGCGTTTTTGAGTAATTGCAACATTTTATTCGCTGTGAATAGTTGACGTTCATATAATTTTTACGATTATAATATTTATTTTCATATTAATAAATATGAAAGTAAATATTAGGTATATTTTATATTTTACAAAAAAAACGCGATATTGATTATTACTTCCTTTAGGACATCACTATGACTTGTCAGTCGTAGCGATTTTGTCGCTCAAACTAAAGTTGTCAATTTTCTATGTATGATTATTTTAACGTCACGCCAAGGCGGGCGTTTAAAGTATCCTTATCGGTATGATATATTTTTTATATTCTATATATTAAATTTTAGTTTATTGGAGCTGGATATTTTTTTACAATTATATAACGATATTAGCTATTGTATAAAAAAAAACACGCATATTCCCTATTGTTGCATTTTCGATCAAATATAAATAATAATTTAAATACTATTCAGCCGTTTTTAACATCTCACTGCTGGACTCAGGCCATAGTTTACCTACGTTGGTCGAGGGCGTGTTAGCGAAGCTCTCGTGTCTTTCGATAACTTTAGTTTCTCTGAGGATATGCAGATTTCCTCATGGAAGATATCTTATTTTCCATCACCGTAAGACACCGTAATGATGTTAGAAATGATTTGCATATAAAAATATCAGAGTTGCGAGACCCGAGATTTCTCCAGTCTCGCTTGGTTTTCTAAGCGAGCGCGTTCTATAACCACGGGGCTAACATTTTTACTTCGAATA